GCGAATCCCCTCAGTCAGCTTCTCCATTAAAGATTCACGAATGCCCACTGAGGTTTGGATTCATGGGCGTGGGAAACAGAGACCTGCCGATTACAGCAGATTAATGAGAAGGGGCGCTTGTTCCCTCTCGGCAGTCACATTAAACCCAGTAAAAGATTCCTGGATGATCACAGGAGAGCAAGTTTGTCACGGTGCTGTGACAACGAATCCACCCGGGACAACCCCGCCCCGCGTGGGCAGCGGCAGGAGCGCAGAGCTGCCGGAGCACAGCTCAGCCTCTGCAGAGGGAATTCACAGCGCAGCTCTGGGAAGTGGCTTCACTTTCCCCACGAGGTAGAAGACGCTAAAGGTGGGGATCAGGCACAGGGGGTGTTTTACCCCCTCCTTTCCCTGGGCCCCGGCTCCGCTCGCTGCTGCTGGCAGCAGCCAGGCGCTGCCGCCGGTCCCCCGCCAGGCTGCAAGGTCGGAGGCTGCTGTGGTTTGTGTTTCACACTGCACCGCCCACGGGTCACCTTTTCCCAGCCTCCTTCCTTTGGCAGAGCCCCGGCTGGAGTGGCCTGCCTGGCAGAGAGTGGTGTCCATGTCCGTGGCACTGGAGCGGGGCTGTGCCACTGCGCTGGCACCCTGGGGGCATCGCTGGGGAACCAGGGAGGTGCTCACGGTCTCAGTTCCATGGCAGCGTCTTCTCGTGTCCCCTGTGGGCTCAGGGACGCGCTGGGGACCGCATCAGGGCTGGCAGTCCCCATCCCCAGAGGTGCCCAAGGAGGGGCTGGACATGGCGCTCAGGGCTCTGCGCTGGGTCAGAGGATGGGGATCGGGCACAGCTGGGTCTGGGAGGTCTCTTGCAGCTGATTTTGTGATTCTGGGAATCCCACCCAGCAGCCCTGCGATCCCAGCCCAGGCAGGAATTTGACAGCAGCGCTCTGGGATCCATCCCAGCAGGAGCGCCAGAGTGGAGCCAGCCCGGGGGACGCTGCTGCCGCGGCTGCCCCACGTTTGGTCACCTTGAAGTGCTGCCGCTGCCGGGAGCCCCGCAGTGCCTGAGCAGGGCCAGCGGCACCGGGGGGCTCTGCCGGGCTCCCGGGGCCGGTGCCACCTCCCTGGGAGCTGCCGAGTGGGAAAAAACCTGCGAGAAACGGCTCTTCCCCTTCCCCAGGCAGGGGATGCCCGCGGCTGCCTGGCAGTGCCACCACAGGGCCACACAGAGCCCCCCGTGCCCCGGGGGAGGGTGAGGGGCTCCTCTCCCCTTCCTGCAGGCAAACCCTGCAGTCAAAGCTGCTGGCAGCACAAAAACATCGCTTTTGGGCAAACCCAGCACGTACAGGGAGCTCCTGCATCCCACACAGAGCTCCCGGTGAGGAACCAGCTCCCACTGCCCAAGGACAAGGGGAACCCCCAGAGTGGGAGGAGGTGAATAAGGAGGGTCCCGTGTAGGGTAATTGACTGAATGGTAATTAACTAATGACTCTGCCTATCCCAGCTGGAGAGGATGGGGCAGTGCTAAGGGCAGGACGCAGCTGCCCGGAGGGATCAGGGCGTGAAGCACGAAGCTTAAATAGCTCCAGAAGCCATTGCAGCCTCCTCTGCCAGGCAGACTCCAGGCTGATCCCATCCCAGCGGTGCCAGAGCCGCTCCTGCGGGGCTGTGACCCAGCAGGGTTTGGGAGTTTGGGGTCTGTGACCCAGCAGATTTTGGGAGTTTGGGGTCACACCGCTGTTCTGGTGGGCTGTGACCTAGCAGAGTTTGGGAGTTTGGGGTCACACCGCTGTTCTGGCGGGCTGTGACCCAGCAGGGTTTGGGAGTTTGGGGTCACACCGCTGTTCTGGTGGGCTGTGACCCAGAAGAGTTTGGGAGTTTGGGGTCACACCGCTGTTCTGGTGGGGTCACACCGCTGTTCTGGCGGGCTGTGACCCAGCAGAGTTTGGGACTTTGGGGTCACACTGCTGTTCTGGTGGGCTGTGACCCAGCAGGGTTTGGGAGTTTGGGGTCACACTGCTGTTCTGGCGGGCTGTGACCCAGCAGGGTTTGGGAGTTTGGGGTCACAGCACTGTTCTGGTGGGCTGTGACCCAGCAGGGTTTGGGAGTTTGGGGTCACACCACTGTTGTGGTGGGCTGTTGGAGCTGCAGGGCCACACATGGGGGCATGGCAGGGCAGGGTGACGGGCTGACCGCGGGAGGTCCCTCTGCTCCCTGCTGGTTCCCTGCTGAGCGGGCACTGGGACACGTTGTCCGTGTGGCAGTGCCCTTGCCCACGGTCCCACGCCCTCCTGCTCAGTGCCCCTCTTCGCTGCAGGTGGATGCCATCCTCGGGGGGCAGCCGGAGCTGAGGGAGAAGGTGGTGGCCGTGCTGAAGCAGTACGCGGCCGAGAGGAGGGCGGAGAGCCTGGCCCGTGCCCTGTGCACGCTGCTCACCCAGGAGTGCCACCGGCCCCTCATCGACAGCATCAGGTACCGGGGGCACCTCCACGCTGCCCTGCCTGCTGCTGCGGGGATGGGCAGGGCTGGGAGGGTCCTGCAGGGAAGGGGCTGGGAGGGTCCTGCAGGGAAGATGCCAACCAGTTTTCCAAGGGGCAGCTGAGCCAAGCTCAGTGGCATCTCAGCCCAGCAGCCCTGTGCCCTCCTGCCCAGTGTGGGAGCCTGCACTCCCTGCCCCTGCCTGCAGCAGGGGATGTGGCTCCCATTCCTGGCTGTGATCTGGGAGGGAGATGGGATTAGCTGCAGAGCCACTGGAGGTTCTCCAGGAGCTCGGCCAGAAAATAATCGCAGTTCTGCAGGGTGAGAGCTGGTGCGGGAGAGGGCTTGGCCAGCGCTGCCAGCAGCTCTGGCAGGGGGGGCTGGGGGGCTCTGTGGGCTGCCCGGGGTGCCAGGGGGTGCTCACTCACCCTGGGATGCCCTGGCCATGCTCTGCTGGGCCTCGGGGTCCCTGGCAGCGGGGCTGGGGCTGGCCCGGGGACACGTGGGGGGATTACAGGCAGGCTGAGGTGGCCATTAGGGAATCAGGTCTCCATCTGGCCCCGCTCCGGGCCCAGCTTTCCAATTGCTGCTTTAATCAGAGGAATTGCAAGATATTACAGTTTCCATAACAACCTCCCCCTGTGGGGTCTCTGCTGCGATGGGCAGCGAGGGGGGCGGCTCGGGGCCCTGCCTCGGTGTCCCCCAGCTGTGCTGGGACTGCGTGGGGTCCCCCAGAGCCCCACACACCGGGGACAGCAGGCACAGAGCCTGCAGGGTGCAGAGAGGACAGCCAGCTGCCCCCTCAGCGGTCACCTTGCCCAGGTGCCCATGTCCAGCCTGTCCTGAGCATTCTGGAGGGAGCCAACCCACCAGCAGCTGGGGCTGGGGGCAGGGAGGGATGGCACCGAGCCAGGCCTGAGCATCACCCCAAACTAAATCCCAAAATAAGCCCCCACCACTCACAATTCAGGAAAATTCTTTCCCCCGGCAAGATCCGTGAAAATGCCTCAAATGCCTCGGATATCCCCTTTGTCATCATCCCTGGGGAATTATCCAGGATTAGTTCCCCTCACAGAAGGGATTTGAGTAAGTGTCCAAATCTTCTTCCGGACCGAGCCCCTCTGTGGGGGGCACAGCAGGTTCCCCCCAGCATGTCCCTGTCCCTGCAATCCCTGTCTCAGTGAGGAGAGCGTGCCTGCACCCGCCGCTGCCACCCTGAGCTTGCCCCGTGCCCAGCCTGTGCTGCCAGGGGCAGCACCACCTTATGGCTCCCCAAAACAGGGCCAAACCCCCTGACTGCCCCCTGCCCCCCGGGAAAGGTTAACACCAGGCTGGGGCGAAGGGTGCCGTGGGTCCGGCAGCTAATCTGGGTTTAATGGAAATGAAATATTTAGCTCAGTAGAAAGATTTACTGTCTAATCTTAATGAAATGAAGTCAGGAAAAGAACTAAAAGAGGTGTCTTGGAGAGCAGGTTTCCCAGCTGTGGGTGCTGGGGCAGTGCCAGGCGTGCTGCCGACCCCGGCTCCCCGATGGCTTCGCTGCCAGGCAGGAGCTGTCCCTGCTCCTCTGTCACCCAGGAGCTCTGCATTCGGGGTGCTGTGAATTCCGGGGTGATTCCAGCGGGGTCAGCCTGTCTGTGACTGAGCAGGGGCTGGGGTCTGTGCCCTGAAGCAGCACACGGGGCTGGGCAGGGCTCTGGGGGTTCATGCAGGGGTGTCCCGGTCCCAGCACTGCCTCTGGGGTGGCAGCAGTGTGGGGGTGCTGCTGTGGCCCCCGTGCTCTCCTGGGCCACAGGGCAGCCACCCCGGGCACTGATTTGGGTGCAGTCAGGGCAGACCTGACCCAACGAGTGTCCTGGGGCTTGTCCTGTGGGGTCACCTCGGGGGGACCCCGGGAGCACCCATCGGGCACCCCTGGGAGGCTGTGCCCAGTTCTCCAGGGACTGTGATCACCCTCAGGGGTGACTTGGAACCCTGGGAGCACCCATCGGGCAGCCCTGGGAGGCTGTGCCCAGTTCCCCAGAGATGTTTCCTCCTGAGGTGGGGACAGTCCTGCACAGCCCCGTTACCTTGTCCTGAGGAGCCCTGGAGGGCTGGGATGAGCTCCTCTCCCCAGGGCGGCCGTGCCACAGGCCAGGGACTGGGATGGAGGCCGGGTGATGGGTCCCCGCCGCTGTTCCGTGCCCCGGGCGGGCGGCTGAGCCTGGCATGGGCACACGGTGGTGGCGGGCTGCGTGTGCCCGTGTGTCCCCTGTCACGCAGGGCCAGGCGCCGGCACGGCCCCGTCTCCCACTGACCCTCGGCTGGCCTGATTGGATCTTCCCTCTGCACCAGCTGTGTTTATTTGTGTGCTGTCGCTGCTGCCGGCTGTCCCCTGCTGTCCCCTCCCCTGCTGTCCCCTCCCTGGGCTCCCCCTGGGCGAAGTGCTGCGGCTCGGAGTAACCCGGACCCCGGCTCGGCGCACGGATCCTGCCGGGGTGCAGCCAGTCTCCTCTGTCCTCGAGCCGGCCTTTTCCACTATTGGATTTCCCACCCCCACCCCTTTCTTTTTATCTCAGACGGATTCCATCCCATTTGCCCAGAACTAAGCTCCTGCAGATTTTAATTCGCTGACATTTTTCTCATCTGCTGGGCTGTGGATAGCGGGATAACGCACGTGCCGGGCCGGGCCCTCCCCGCTCCCATCCCCTGCCCATACGGCTGATGTGTGCGGGCCAAGCGCACAGCTGCGCTCCTGCCCGAGGATGCTGCAGCCCGGCCGCCAGCGGGGAAGATGAGCTGTCTCGGGTGAGTAACGAGGCGCCTTTGCCGGCGCCGAGGGAAGCGGCTTTAATTCAGGTTCCTTCTGGAATGTGGCAGCCCCTGGCGCTGCCGAAACGAGGTGCGCTGGAAGTTAATGAACTCTTAGCACGCGTGTTGCCCGGAGCGGCTCCGCTCGCGGGCTCCTCCAGAGGGGAAGGCTCTAATTTGGGTTATTCCATCAGCCGCGACCGCGGAGCGAGGGCTTCGTCCCCTCCGCCGCCCGCGCCGGGGCTGCCGCGCCCCGCTCGGGTTATTTTGGGCTGGCCGCGGTCTCGGGGGGTCCCGTCCCTCGGTGCTGCTCCGGTTTCGGAGCTGCTTTCAAAGCAGGGCAGAGCTGCGGCTCGGCTCCGCGGAGCCGCCGCCAGCACCCCCGGCCCATCCCGGGGCTCCGGGGGCCGGAGCCACCCCCGGAGCCCCGCGGGACACGGGGGATGCTCCTCGGCGGCGCGCAGGGCTGTGCACTGCCCGTGCCGGGCGCCGTGTCCCTGCGCAGCCTTGCTTTGCCCGGCGCTGCCGTGCCAGGGATGCACCAGCCGCGGGTTTGGGTTAAAAACATCCGTTTGGAGTGGAAGTGGGGCAGATTCAGATCCCGTCCTCCGAGCCGCAGCGCCGGGAACAACAACCGGCCCCGGTGGCCACTGTCCTGTTAGCCCGGGCTGGGCTGGGTGTGCGCGACCCCCCAGCCCCTCGCCCCGGCCGCATCCTCGGGGAAAGCTCCGGCTCTCCTTGGGCTGTGCGATGTTGTCTTGGCTCTCTGTAACTCGTGTTGCGCTTCAGGGCTGCGGGTAGGAGAGTCTGGGGCAGTTTGTTCTTCACTGCTTTGGTTTCGCTGCGTTTGCTCCCGGGGAAAAGCCAAGGGAGCCGTGCCGGGCCGGGCCGGGCTGGGCTGGGCTGAGCCCTCTCCCCCTCTGCCAGCTCTGGTGGCTGGCACAGCTGAGGTCGCTGCCCATCGGGGGCTCCCCTGTGACGGGAGAAATTCCACCGAGGCCGTGTTAACACCATCTATTTGTCTCAGCTTGTTTTTCATGGCAATAAAACTGCTTGGCGTGTTCCTGTATTAAACTGCTCCAGCCATCTGTGACCGGCCCTGGATCAGAAATTTCATTCCAGCCATGAGGATTTATATATTGTGGATTGTGCTGCTTCCCTGCTTCTCAACCCCCTCCACTTCTCCAGGGCTGGGGGGAGCTTCCCAGCTCTTTTGGATGTGGATGGAGCATGAGAGACCCCCTGAGTCCCTGATGCTGACGTGGACATTGTCCTCCTGTCCACAGCCCCGGCATCCCCACCTGGATCACAGGATGGTAATGGAGGAAAAGCAGCTCTTGTTTGCTTCCATTAAAAAAAATCCCTAATCTGATGGCCCAGCATATGCTCAGCTGCCCAAAAAAAGAGGGGAATTAGGGCAGCAGGGAACAAAATGTGTCAGCAGTGAGACAATTGGGAGCGAGTTCCTTTTTTATTGGTGGAGTTCAAATAGGTCATGACCAAAATGCCTCGGTGGGAAATCTCCTGATAGGAGATTAAATTCCTTTGGCAAATCAAACTCCGGCTGGGATGCAGATGGCATCAGCCTGGCCCGCCTGCACCCTGCTGGAGTCACAACTTTTATTTTGGGAAGTGGTTACTTAGGATGAGTTTTCCAGTGTCTTAAAGGAAACCGGGAAAGCAGCCTGGAGTTGCAGGAAAAGCCTTGCTGGGGGTCTCTTGGAAGTTCTCCTTGTCCCCGGAGCTGTGGGACTGCCGTCCCTGCCAGGGCAAGGACAAAGCCACCAGGTCGTGGTGCACAGCGTGGTTTGGCCGCAGGGACCCTGGATTTGCACAGCTGAGGGCACCCTGGGGTGCTGATGGGGACCCCAGGCCAGGCACGGGGTGCGCATCTGCTCCAGGGGGACTCTTGGCTGAATCCTTGCTGGAGCAGGGATGTGTCAGGAGGGGCTGACCCTCTCCAGAGCTGCCGGGGGTTTGGGGCTGTCCCCGGGGGCCAGCAGGGTGGTCGGGAAGGGCTGTGAGGGGCTCCCGGCCCTGCCCGTGCCCAGCCGCTGCCTCCCCGCCCTCCCGGGCAGAAACCTTCACTCCTGCTGAGTGGTGACATGATGCCACCTGCACAGCACCTGCAGGCAGGTGAGCTGGGGGGTTGTGGAGCTGCAGCACGGGCAGGACGGGGATGGAATCCCAGCTCCGGGTGCTGCGGGGCTGCAGCGAGCTCTGCTCCCGCACCAGGACCCCGGGGCTCCGCATCCCCGGGGCTCTGCGCCCTGCACAGGTACGTGGAGTTCGAGCATTTGGGGCTCACCAGCAGAATTCCTGCGCTGGGGTAAAGCCTGCAGGAGTTTCTCTCCCGGATTTTAGCATCTGGCTGGACCAGCAGAGCTTTTCAGGATGGGCAGAGGTTTCCACAGCACAGTTTAGACATAATCCAAGTGTAGCTCAGTGTTTTAATCCACTCTGGGACGTGTTTTTCTGCACAGCTGACAAACTCAAGGTCGGGTCTTTGCCGGTTGTTCTGGGGCTGAACCGTCCATTTTTCATTTCTCCTTCCTTTGTTGCTACCTGGGGACTGTGTGTGATGTTGGCAGCTCTGCGAAGCCTCACATCCTCTTCATCAAACACCAGTGGTGTGCTTAAAGATGGCGTTATTTAAATTAAAGAAGGCTTTTCTCTTTTGCTCCTACTGAAAGGCACCGCTGTGCTGCCCTGGCGGTGGAGGATGCTCCATGTGGGGCTTTGGGCCCACGACTGTGCTCCTGGTGCAGCCTGGCAGCTCCAGCTCCCCGCCCAAAACCCGCACCCCTGGTGCCGTTTGCCTTTAAGGTTCCTCACCCCTTTCCGCAGCACGTAATTTAAACACAAGC